AGGAAGAAGTCCTTCGATTAGTGCAGAGGGGGTTAACAATGATGGAAGATCTAACGGGATAATGGAATCCTAAGGAAAGATGTGTTCAAAATTTGATGGTTCCTAGTCTCTACAATGGTTATTGTGATCAGATTTGTTTTTGCAGTCGAGTGGTGGAAGCTGCTCCTTATGAAGCTATTGTAATTCCTGCATCTGGAAAGGAGTTAGCTGTCCAGTTAAGATGCCAAGATTTGTCTTGGAATGATTTTCTTTCTAGTGTGTGTATCCTTCCAAGGTAATATGATACTGTTCTCTGAAATTGCTTTTTCTTTTAAAACATGTATGATTCACTAAGAAAGGTACATGTCTAACTTTTAAAAATGTATAAATCTCTTCCAATTTACTGAATATGTAATTTTGAAACATTTTCCATTCTGGCAGTTCAAATTACTTCACACCAGCTTATCAACCTATAGACTCTGTCACAATATCCTATTTTCATCAGGAACCACAGGTTAAAAAGTTATTTTTGATGGCTGCTTATACCTCCACTTTATTATATTTTTATTTTATCATGATTTTCTACATGTTTTTGTGTTTATGCTTGTTGTTCAATAGGAGAACCAAAAGCTATTCCATGGACCAGCATTCTCCCATTAGGTGTGCTGCTGATACATGGGCACATATTGATGTTCAAGAGGGAGATGTTTTCTGCTGGCCTACAAATTTAGGTTGGGTGATGGGCCAATATTGCTTATTCATGCTTTCTGTCTGGCGGAACACTTGCTCTATATCATGGTTCTCCTTTAGGCCGTGGTTTTGGGAAATTCATTCAGGTGATTGCCACAGATTCCTGTGTCAGTTAAGAGTAAAATCATTTCTCCTTGAAATGAGGAGAATTGTTATTTGATCCTAATAATGAACATGCTGCGCACATTGGTCCCTTACAAATGCCATTACTGCTAACACGAATATCCTACCAATCCCCTACTCTTGCCTCTTTCCAATTTATGTGCTTTATTAGGATGCAGGAGCAACTGTATTGGGTACTGTTCCAAGCTTAGTTAAGACTTGGAAGAGTACAGGGTGTATGAATGGCCTAAATTGGACAAAGATAAGGTATTGTCTGTGACATTTATATTTAAGTGGTTCTAATGGTTTGCCAATAAAGTACTAGAGTTTATAATCTTGTGCAGGACTTTTGCTACCACTGGAGAAGCTTCAAACATAGATGATGACCTTTGGCTTTCTTCAAAGGCTTACTACAGTCCCATTGTTGAATGCTGTGGAGGCACAGAGCTTGCATCATCATATATCCAAGGAAACCCTTTACAACCACAAGCATTTGCAGCATTTAGCTCTGCATCAATGTCCACAAGTTTTGTCATCCTGAATGAAAATGGGCTTCCTTATGTAAGCACTTTGACTGGTGTCTACAAGGCTTCAGTATTATTTATTGCAATAGAATTGCTGCAGCAAATACTTTTGAGTTCTGCAATCATTTATGAAGAGTGGCTTATTTTCTGTTCAATAGGCTGTATTGCCAAGTGACTTGTTGTTGCTGTTTCTTTGTGCCTCTTACAGTAGTATCACTTGAACAATTTTAGTAGACCTTTCAATTGAGATCGACTGATGCTTAATATCTAGTTTTTATGGTACAGCCAGATGATCAAGCATGCATTGGTGAAGTGGGTTTATTTCCTCACTACATGGGAGCAACTAATAGATTGTTGAATGCTGATCATGAGGAGGTGTATTTCAAGGGCATGCCATATACAAAGGAATGGTATGCTGTTGTTTGACTTGAATTACTTCCTTTTTTAGGTTTTATATAAAGTTGGATTACCTGTTTATATAGCAATGCCTAGAAAATTCGCTTGAAAAGTCATTTCAACAATTCTCAACTTTACCACACATTATCATGGACTATAAAACAAGCTGCAGCAAAATGATTTCCAGCCTTTGAGCTATGTAGTTGCTTTCTTTAGCTGCTGTTCCTATCGTGTTTGCAATCCTTGAGATTTGGCCTCATTAGCTGTGCACAAGTGTCAGTGGAGCTACCAGGATTAAAACAGTGCACTGGTTAAAGGAACAGAAAGTATGTGGTTGGAGTTCCCATGCTTGTAAACTTGGGCATAAATTCATGATTGCATTGTTTTTGTGAATGATTTCAAGGCCTCAAGCATCAGTTCACAGAATCCAAAATAACAGTGTGCCTAGGAGGAATCATGCTCTTTCTAACAATTTTTGTCTTGTTTATCCATTGATAGGTGAGACTTCCTTGGGAAGAATAATATGAGATACATAACAGTAGAAACAGCTGGTTCTCTGTAGGAAACAGCTATGCATCAAGACTATTAAATGCAAACCAATACTAAGAACCACTTCAAGTCTAGTCTTTCTCAATGGATGAGAGCTCTGGATTTATACTTATAGAATTTCTGTGGATAAAATCGGGTGGTCCTTTACTTCTTTTATAACTTAATTTCTATTCTCAGCAACTTAGGCGACATGGTGACATCATCAAACGCACTATTGGAGGGTTTCTCATTGTACAAGGCCGGGCTGATGATACCATGAATCTGGGGGGATAAAGGTATATCTCTATCATACTGCAGATACAGTCTCTTTACCTGCGCTATCTTTCTGTCTGTCTACAGTTTTATCTTTTTTGTTTTGGAGATTGCTGCTCTAGTTAATTCGAAAAACACCGAGAGCTATTACCCTTTTCTTATTTTGTAGCTTGCCTTTTTACCTATGTTTTACTGAGAAAACTGATTGTATTCGTATAGAGTCCAGGATGGAAGATTTCTACCTAAAATTTTCTTTTGAGACATAACTTCTTGAGTTGGAAATGGATTTAATTTTCTTCTCTAATATAATAGAATGGCTGGCCTTGAGCTATTATTGGTTTTCTGCAAGTCAGTACTTTGTTAGTTTGCTACTTATTTATTTATTTTTATTCCTGTGCAGACTAGTTCAGTTGAGATTGAGCGTGTATGTAACCAGGCTCATGATGGTATCTTGGAAACTGCCGCAGTCAGCACTCCACCGCCGAATGGTGGCCCAGAGCTGTTGGCTGTATTTGTTGTGCTAAAGGAAGGAATCCGTGCTGACCCTGATTTGCTGACGATGAAATTCTCAAGAGCCATACAGAGCAACCTCAACCCTTTATTTAAGGTTTGCCAATGCCCCTGAAAATGCAGTGATTGTCTTGTTTTCATATTCGATTACTTTAATTCTTGGGGTGCTAATCCGTGCAGCACCTAACCATTGGAGTATACATGCTAGACAAGGACTAATGTAGAGTTTACAAAGAAAATCACAAAGAACCTTAGTCACAGCAATGACTTTTCTTATTTTTTCCCCCCTTTCTACGAACAAAGAATCTGAATCCATTCCATGTCAGCGATGGGGTTAGTTCGATGTTCTGACTTCTCCAAACCCCTGAAATTGAAATGAATGACAACCTTGGGATAGGTACCTAAAGTTTGTATAACCTTTACCATGACACTGAGAAACATATTCCTAGGATATTGAGTCTAGTGCAGTTTGAAGTGGATGCCATGTAAATAACATATTGCATGCTTGCCTGTCCCAAGTAGTTTGTTCAAGATCCGTGTAGATAGAGGGTGTCTTTTTTTTTGCGAAACAATAGACCCTACATTTTGTTCTATACTATGGGGAGGGGAGAGGGGGGGACCTAAAGAGGCCTAGAGAAAACCGGAGGGGACTAAACCACCTACTGGCCCAAATAAGTGCACTATGCACTCGTCCGGTAGCCACTTGAAGTGGCCTGCCACATTTAGTGGCAAATGGGGGAGGCAGGGTTTGAAACCCTGACCTCCCACCCCACAGAGATAGGTAGTATTATTCTGGCCCACTTTACTGCTGAACTTATAACTTAATTGCTATAGATAATTTTCCATACCAAGTGCCAGTAATACTCAGTACTTGGTGATCATGAATCTTGTTGAACAACACACTATATGGAAGTTTTACAAGTCAAGTTATACTTTAGCATCATCTCCCTTGGCCAGTCAAACTTATATCGGACAAAGGATTTTAATGTTTCTGTGCAAGAGCAGATGTGCTACTGTGAAGTGCATTAAATTTGTGCGCCGCAAGAAAACATTCGGTAGCAGTTGGATGAGATGGGATACTCAATCTATTCTCTAATCTTCTCTTTTTCTTCCCTGTTGAAAGTGAACCAGAGTCACTGATAAAGTCACATTGCACTAAGTTTGGTTTGATTGGTATAGGTGTCTGATTTCTGTTCTAACTTAATGTAGGTAAGTTTTGTGAAGATTGTCCCTGAGTTTCCTCGAACGGCATCAAATAAGCTTTTAAGAAGAGTTTTAAGAGATCAGTTGAAGCAGGAGCTTAACATACGGAGCAAGATCTGAACATGGGATTGATGTTTCCAAAACTTTGTGCAATAATTACTTTATTTCCTATTCCTGACAGGACTACGTGCAATAAGATCATTGAGTGGTTAGTTTCTATGTTTTCCATCATAGCAAAGAACTGTTGATATTGTGATCATGGGGTCATATAAAGAAATTGGTTTTGTTATAAAGAAGTTAAATTTACTCGAACTATTAGTACAACCTAGTTCTGCATCTATAGTGATAATATACTGTGTTGCAGAATTTGTACACTTTTTTTTTTTTTAATCCCTCTGCTTTTCAGCTTGGTTAAAGCAAGTGTAAAACCAAAACGCATCAGAAAAGAAAGTAAACTGGTCCTTCGTTGCTGGTAAAAGTCCCTGCGGGCTATCATTTTGTTAAGCAGGTTTAGTAGGCCAATTGGGAGTTTAGTTGGAGATGGAGCTTCTATTAGAGGGACAGAAGTCTACCACAAAGAAGCTTTGCAAACTTTCAAGGAATTCGCGTCTACCTATATGCATTACATGCATACTGGACAGAAGTCTGATCTGAAATTCATCTGATCAACCAAGATATATAACCAAATGTAGTCATGTATAAAACTGGACTGACTTCATTGACAATACAAAACAATCATTTATAGCCGTCAAAAAAAATATTTACGGCTGTTGAAAAAAAATTATTTACAACCGTCTCATGTCTCAATGTCAATACATCAAGTTATGAACAAATTACTATATCAACAATCCGAACTTCCTACCTACTTGGGACTGTACAATTCAGAGGAAAATACTACTCTACATTAGTCCAAGAATTCAGAGAGGAAAATGCTACCCTACATTAATTGACAATCACCCTTTCTTCTGCTTTTCCAAATCAAAAATATGCTTCCTCCAAGAATTCCTCCCTCATGCGCAACCTGAGCTGTTCTAAAGGGTTCACAATGTTGCCATTCTTCAGGACTCTCAGCACCATGACAGGTTGATACCCGCAGCGGTCGTAGACAGGAGAACATTCGCTTAACATCTCGAGTTCCTTGAGAATCATCAGATTTTCCTCGAGTTCAAGCTCTGCTTTCCTTTTCATTGTCTCCAAAGTAACCCTGGCAGCTTCCCTTTGTTGACCATGGAATTGAAGTCCATCTTTTGGTTTTAGCATATGTTAGGTATATGGCAGTTATCTAGGGAGAAATAGCTATATTTATATTGGTTTCAAATCGTGGAATGCTATGATATGTAAATGTTTGACATGGTTAACTTTTGTGGTTTGACATATTATGGTTGCCTACTAATGATAATTTGTAAAATTTTGGTTGATATTTTCCTTGCATACTTTTATATTTTGATTGGGTGGAGTGTCTATACAGATGATATGGTCACTTTCTTATCACTAAAATTGCTGGGCTTAAAAAAGCTAAATGGTGAAATTAGAAATTAATATGTTATAGTGATACGGCTGTTGTCAGGAAAAATGACCTTGTATTGTCATTAAAATTTTAAGCAAGTTTCAATGCATGACTTTTCTTGACAATTGAAACTTTAGTCACAAAGTTCAGGGTCTTTCCCGACAAAGGCTCATCAAGACTATGAGGTCTTTCCCTAACGACCAAATCATCACGATTACCTTTCCTGATGATGCATCACAGAAAATGACACTTTTCTTGATGAGAATTTCACTAGTTGTCGGGAAAACCTTTTGCTGACGGCGTATGAGTGACCAATATTCCCTGACAATATTGACGTCACGAAAACCTTTCCTGACAAAATATGTAACTTTTCTTGACAAAAATTGTTGTCACTAGAAATTTTTTTTTTGGTTGTAGTGTAACTTCTTTCCATCAAACCTTCTCACCTCTGGAACTAAAGTATCACCACATCCAGTTTTCTTCAAGCAAGTCTTGTACCTTGATAGCTCTCCATTACCAGCTACCATGCTCCCCTCCAATTCTTCCCCATCCATGCTACTTTCTACAAGCTTGGCACAAGCCACTCTATTTTCAGCATGCTACAAGAAGAAAAGGCTCAATATTTGATTTATTTTGTTAAACACTTCCAAAAAACAGATAAAAAAAGAAAAGCCATTGAAACAGGCAAATAGACTTGCAGTCAACATTTTTTACCTTCATTTCCACATTCCGAGAATTGTATAGCACTCTGGTGGGCAAAATCACAGATAACTACCTTCCATCTTCAAAACTTGATTGATAAGTGAAAACAACTTCTCCCTCTTGACATTCTCATAAGAACAACACGAGAACCTTGGTGTTCTTTGTCCAAAAAGCATGATCTCTACTTCCTAAACAAATTCTGGAAAAAAAAAAATCATAATATTACGTCACAATGCTACTTCAGTTATGACATTAAGTAGAAGCATGAGCCACGGAAAGGTTTGGTCTGGTAACTAGTGCAACAATTTATCACTCAAATCCTAAAGAGTCAACAAATTAAGCCAAATTCCATTGATTAAGCCATAAAGAAAATACACTAGTGTAGATACCACCCTGCATTTGGCACAATTACATGACTCAAACATACTTGCAAACTTGGACCAATTCCCTTGTACTTCTAGTAAGTTGGGTGGAGACACTTCCAAACCACTTACCTCCTCATCTTTCTTCAAAAACGATTGGAAACCATTGCTTGATGCTGCAGTTGGAGAATGTGAAAAGTGCAATAAGATGCTTTAGAGGTTCCAGGCTGACTGTGCCTTGAGCACGCTTTTGAGCCTTCCATTGCTTGCAGGCAAATGTTTCAGCACTGTCATTGCTTGCTGCTTCACCGACACTTGTTGCCTGCAAGGCCATAATATTATCAATCCAATTCACAAAATAGAAAAAGAGCACCCTAGTTATAGTGTCTGAACTTTAAAAATTTCCAAAGATGATAAAAATTTATAGTTTTAACGGCACCCTAGTTCCTCTGCAAACAATTTCAACTCGATCGACATTGAGCTAATTTTATGGCAATCATAACGCAGAGCCCTACGGAAGAGATAATAGTGAAGATTAAGAACATATCCATCCATTAAATGCTAGCGGTAACAAAAAAAAATTGTAATGTTCTCCCAAATTGCTATTTCATTGGTTTTAAGGTTGTTTGGAAATATCAGTGACAGGAAAAAATAAGAACATACCCCATTGAAGCTGAATGGTTACGCTTGCAATGTTAGTGAATTTCATGGACAAATAGTCAGTACCAAGTTCACATGTAGTAGTGAATTTTACCATGCTCATTAATCCTTTGGATGGTTTAGAAAAGCAGATGAAATCCACAATTTTATTGTCTTTCAATTTGCTCGTAACTCTAATTTGTTAATGGCAAGAATTAGCTTAAAAATTGAATGAGAAAGTAATCTTCGCCAGAAGAAGTAGAGGAATAGATATTTATGGAGAGAAAGAGTGAGGGACAAATACGGGTAGAATAAGATGATCCAATAATGAGAAGCAGTTAATTAAAATTTTGAGATGAAATCTTACCGGATGGCTCAGAAATACCGAAAATCAATTTTACGCTCCGGAATATCAGAGATCTTGGGCCACTCGGAGCCGCTTTGAGGAGTGCATCTTCGATTTAATAGAGGACAAAACCAAATTTCCAGACGTCTTAATTTGAGGCGTTCCATGGCGGCCATGGAGGGTAAGTATTCAAGCTTTGGGCAACCCGATAGGATTAGGTCTTCAAGAGATGCAAAATTCCCAAGCCATTCTGGTAAGGCTTCGATTGCTCCGAAGTCACCTAGAGACAGTGATGTGATGGTAGTCAAGCATTGAAGCTGATGTGGCAGAGACTTCATGTCGGGCATTCCACATAAAGACACGCACCGGAGTGTTGATGAAGATGCTAACCCAGCCCAATCAAATTTGATTACAGAGTCATCTGTAAAGGGACCAATCTGCACTTCCCTTAAGCTGGTAAGATAGCCAAAATCCACTAGGCATCTCAGCAATCAAGTTGGGACAGTCGAATAATTTGAAGCTCGCGAGAGAAGGGGTTCGTCGCAAATCAAGGGGAAAGGAGACCAGACTGTGCCAATTGTACAAATTCAGCTCTCGGAGAGACGTACATGACTCGAACATCTCCACTGGCAATGTTGTTAATTCATGGCACCCATAGGTAAGAAGCATCTCGAGAGACTTAAGGAGGCTTTTCTGTCCTGTATTATGATTTGGATATCCAAATGAATTGATTCTCGGGCAGTCACCTACAGTCAAGCACCGTAAAGCTTGAAATTGATAGAGATCATCTGGCAACTCCCGTAAATTCTCACAATAATGGACTGCCAAACTCTCAAGACAAGCGGCGCAACTCATTCCTCTTAATGTTATTATATTAGGGCAACGAAACAATCTTACATCCTGAAGAATTGGAAAGAGGCAGAGTCGCTCAAGCATGTCAGTGGGTAGACTGTCACAGCCCTCAATCTCAAGCTGCTCTCTGGTCGTTTCACTAATTCTAGAGACTCGATGCTTTGTAGACCACCCCTTAAATAAAGGGAAGAAAGTGTGGTTATATTGCTCAAAACCTTTTCCGCCACCAAAACGTGGCAATTCCATTTGATTTCCAATACATCAAGACTTGGGAAACGACTTGGAGTTGGAATGGTGGTCAGCTTGGGGCAATCGCTAATATACAACTTTTCCAGCACAGGAAACACATCCATCACACGTACTTCACCTGCGTTTGACATCATTTCGGGTGCGTCCTTCCACTCTTCCAAAATTTTCATGCTTTCAAGAGAGAGAATTTTGAGGGATGGAAAGAATGTTTGTCTGCTAATAGTGTCTGAACCTCCTGATCCGCCATCCTCCTCAGCACTTGCACTGTAGAATGAAAGCCCAATGCTTGTTGTGTTGTCCAATCTAGTCAGATAGAGGCACTTGAGGAACGGCAGCTGTCCAAGTGCAGGGAGTTTTCTGCATCTTGTGCAATCCTCCACCCGCAACTCCACCAGTGATGTCAATGTCAAATTCATGAACCATTGTGGGAACTGATCACCCATGAACTTCAAAATTTGTAACTCTTTTAAATTTGGGTGAGGCTGGAGACCTTCCAACACATCTTCATCACATTTATCACTTTCGATCCCTATTGCCCCACTCAAACACCAACCGATACATATTTGGCTTTTAGATAGGTTCGCTAGTTCAGCATCATCTTTGCCATTTACTAATTCAAGATTTCTGATCTCCAAGGTGCCTTTAAGATCTTGCAAGGTTCCAAGTTCTTGGATACCACGACCTTCCTCTTGATGACCTATGTTAAAGAACTCTAATGTTTGAAGACAAGTCAATCGTCCAATCCTGGATGGCATTTGGATTTTGCGCCCTGCATGATCATAATAGTGAAGATGTCTCAAGCTAATCAAATTGCTCATCTTCTTTGGCAAACCTTCTTCAAGCATGTTAATTCTCAGTGTTTGCAAACTATAAAGTTTGCAAAGAGATTTTGGCACAGTTGTAATCCTAGAACCTGAAATGTCAAGTAAGTGTAAATGTATTAGTTTGCCAATGGAGTTCGGCAACTTTTTGGCATCTGCTCCAAACAATTTTAGGACATGCAAGTATTGAACTTTGATAACATATCATCAGCTATGCCACCCTCCAGAAATAATGTGCGAAGTGATTCTGATTTTTTTTCATTGATGGTTTCTACCGCCAGGTAACGGTCCCATTGCTGCTGTTACGATTCAAAATTGATTTTGCAAAATCATGCACAAGATCATGCATTTTATATGATGTTTTCCACTCCTTTTTTACTTCTTCCAATAAGGAAGTTTGCAGCAAAGTTTTCAGATACTTATATCTCTTTTCTCCATTCTTTCATTTTGGGAATCGGTTGAGAAAAGCCTTCAGCCATCCAAAGCTCAACTAGTGATCTTGTTCCAATTCAGTATCTTGATCAAAAATTGAGCAATATGCAAAACATTTCTTAACCGGTGCAGGTGAGAGATGATCAAAACTCACCTTAATTATTGCTCGATCCCACCCTGATCTCCATTCAAGAGACTCTCCTCCAAAATAGATAGCCACTCCTCTTTCTCTTTTAGATAACAATCCTCCAATTAGCTTTGCTGAGAGAGGTAGACCGTCACATCTTCTTAAAACTTGCTCCCTTATGTCTTCCAATTCTTTTGGTACTTCTTCCCCTACAGTTGCCCATTTTTCATGATAGACCAGCAATCATTATTGCATAGCTTTCTCAGCTCATGGCGAGTAAAATTGATCTGCGGATGTCTAGACAGAATAATTGCCACTTCTTGCAGACGAGTGGTAACAAGACACCAGCTCCCTTTCTTGGTATTGAGTCCCGCCAAAGTGCTGAAAAAGTCATTCAACAATACTTCTTGATCATTCACAAATCATCAGAACAAGGAAATATCTTTTTTCTTGAGTTCATGCTGAATTTTTTTAACTATTTCCTCCCTAGGATCCCCTTCGGTCTCTCTATCTGTTAACGATTTTAGAATCATTTTGAAGACCACCTCGATTTCATCTACTTTTTTAGCCACAGAAACCCACATTGTTTGGTCAAATGTCCAGCAATTTGTTCATTTTGTAAACGGCTTTAGCCAGAGTTGTTTTTCCTAAACCACCCATGCCAGTTATGGGAATAACTGAAATAACACTTTCAGATTCGGTCAACAACTTCTTAACTATTTCTGATTCATCCTCGTCTCTTCCTAGGACATCTCTTCGCACAATAGTAGAGTCAGTCTGTCGGCTTGTTGGGGCTCCAGCAGCAATAGTAGGGAATGCTTCTTCAACTCGGCGCTTGTAGGCCAGTCCCAAACCTTCGGCATCCCGATGGATCCTCTCAAGGTTCGTGTTGATCTCCCTGATCGTTGAAGCCAACCTCGAACGAAAACGGACTGTATTAAAGAATGAAAAGCAGAGGAATACCTTCTTTTTCATGAGTTGATTTTGATACTTCACCTTCTGACGAAGATTTTCATAGTTGAGCTCGTCCAGCACATTGTCAGCTTTGAAAACCTCTTCTTCCAGTTGCTTGAGCCAATTTTGCACCCCAACAAGCTTCGGATCGTGGCTATGCATTTCCTCATCAGCACCGGCCAAGAAGCCTCGGATCATTTCAGCAGATCTGTTGAGTCTCTCCAGCTCCTGTGGAAATTCACGAACCAGACTAACCTGATCAGCGGCAAGGGAAACAACCGTCTGCAGTGCAACCCGAATAGTAGCACTAACAGCAGCATCAGCCATTTTTTTTTCTCGCTTGGGATTGGAATTAGGATGAAAGTGTTGTGATATCGATGATGGTGATGGGGGGATGCTTTCTGTGATGAGACAAGGAAGGAATGGTTCAACTTTAGCAGCTAAGAGCAAAATCTGTGGAGGCTAATTAAAACTTGCAACTTGCCCGGCTTCAACTTCTTCCACTTTTTGCAATTTGCCCGGCTTCACCTTGCAAAGCTGCACTCTAAAGACGTCACTTAGAAAGTTTTACCGCTTTACTGTGACAATTTGTAGCATGTGTTAGCCAGCTTCGGCTCTCTCATTCCTCCTTGTTACAATGCAGTAAAAGAGCAGGTACTAATAGGCCTGTCAACGGGTCGGGTCTAGACCCGGATCCGTGAAATTATTGCGGGTATGGGTAGGGATTTAATTCCGTTTCCCGGATCCGGATCCGGATCCGTTTTGTCAAAAAAAAAACGGGTCGGATACGGAATATAGTATTCCGGCCCGTATTAGACCCGGATCCGGATATAAATGAATTAATAATTTAAAAAATATATATTTATCAATATAATTTGATTAGGGTGATGTATTTTAATAAAGTTAATTTGATTTCTTTTCTTATTTGATTTTTTCTTTGCATTAGTTAGAAATTAGTTTACAAGTATATTTTTTTCTCATTTTTATTAGAAATTATAAAATTTGATAAATTTGTTCGGGTAGACCCGGATCCGGATCCGGATCCGGAACGTAGAATAAAAGACCCGTCAGGTAAACGGGTCGGGTCCGGGTCCGGAATAATGAATTCCGGCCCGGACCCGACCCGTTGACAGCCCTAGGTACTAATATAAAATTGGCTTAACTTCTAACTCATCATCTTGTAGTTTCTCTCTTATCCGTTTTCTTTTTAACTCCTTCCGAATCCAATTAAAAATGTCATAGTTTTGAATTTTAAAATGTCTCAAAATATTTATCATTTTATTAAACTCAAATTTACTTTTGATCTCTTTTTTTCAAGGTTTTTTTCCCATGTTTATCAATATTTGGCATTAAATTTAAATTTAGATTTTGAATTTTTGAGAACAATTTTAGATACAAATCTACTAACATCACCGTCAAGTTACTTACTATCCTTAAAAAAATTTGAATCCCGAAATACGACAAATAATTTGGAGCAGAGGGAGTATTATTTTAATTTCCATCAGTTGTGCTTGTATACTCAAATATAATGATGATTTCTTAATTGAATTTTGGTACTTTGTATTGCACTTTGTTATTTTAAAATTAAAACACATATTGCTTTTTTACCATTAAAAACTTTGGAAAGGTTTTTTACTTTCATAATAGATTAGTGCAAAATCATCACTGATTATTTTCCCCACAAACTCAATAGTGCAAAATAGTCCTGTTGATTATAAATATATATATATATATGTGTGTGTGTGTGTGTGTGTGTGTGTGTGTGTGTGTGTGTGTGTGTATGTATAAAAGATAATAAACAAAAAGGATTAATCACTAGAGGGAAAATTTTGTACAAAAGAACAATTGCTAACTTCTAATGATATAAATACACACCAATCTATATCTATATGTATTGAAGAAGGGGTTTTTAGCAGAGACCCTCTCAATAGCTTCCAAACTTTTCATTCTTTTTTCTAGATTTTTGTATTTGTTTTAATACATAAAAAGTAGTGGATTATAACCAACCTTATCACCAATCAAATTTAAA